ATGAGTCACATAACAAAGTGGCTGTTCGGCCGCTCGCTGTCTGGATCGTGGGGGGGGGAAGCGTGGCAGATGACTCTTGGCCTCCGTTTGCCTCGAGGACGACGTCTCTCGTTTGACACCAATCCCAATCGGGTAATCCTGTGCTTTCCAATCACCCCCCCTCCAAGTGTGACGATGGTTGCTGCTGTAGAAGGTGGTGATGGTGCAGCAGGACGTTGATGCGAGGAGATGAATTCCCCCCCCCTGTCAGTGCGGCGGTCATACATGTACTCTACTGTCATAAGGTGCTCAGAGGAGGTACAGCAGGTATAAAATGTTTTAAACCTTCAGGTAAAATAATCCTCACACTCCGTAGCTAACCGTAGCTTAACATCGTCGTTGAGCCAACGTTAGCAAGGTATGTTAGCGTCCAAGCTTCATTAGCGCAGAAATAATAGTGTTGTTAGTTCATCTTCTTTGGAGGTTCCCTTTGACACTTTTCATTAAACCTTCTGTCTGCTTCTATCTGAATTAAAATATCGTCTTGGGGTCAAAATGTGTTTGCTTTTAGTTTGAAGTCGGGGCAGAAGATGAATCCTCCACCAACGACGCGCTGTGCTGGATCGCGAGTGACGACACCGGTTTGGATTTAAGAAAGCGTAAAAACATCAGCGTTCTTTTTACGACGCGATGTGTCATAACGATGACAAACCACGAATCAGCACCGTGTGTCGGTCATGTGACCCCCACCCCCCGCCCCTCTTTGTTAGATTCTGTGTTTGATGTTTTCTGCTTTAATCACAACCCTGTGACGAGAGATGAGACAGATGAAGACCCTCTCATCAAAGTAACCCCCCCCACACACACACACACACACACACACACACACACACACACACACACACACACACACACACACAGACGTATCCCCCCAGGGAGGGGGGGGCCAGGCCCGGGCGCCTGCCCAGACACCTCCGATCGGAAGGGAAAAGGGTGTCTGCTTCCCGGAACAGCGGAACAGCGTCTCGCCACTGCCGGGGTGTGTGTGTGTGTGTGTGTGTGTGTGTGTGTGTGTGTGTGTGTGGTTGTTGATGTTAGTTAGATTGGCAGGCCTCCATCGGGTTGGCAAAGGTGTATTTAAGTCCAAGTGCTTGTCAAGAAGAGTAATGGCCCTCGCTTGCTACGGTGTTTTTATTTCAGTAATAATTCCTCCTGCTCCGTGACGAAGAAATGAACCCTTTGTGGTATTATTATTTTTTCTTTTGGCACAAAGCACAGTTTATACATTCTGAGACACAAGGCCGCGGTGAAATGTCACGGCTCATATTTAAGAGCTTTATCTGGTAGGAATGGATTGGAAACAAAGAAGAACCAAAGGTCAAAATGAAGCTGGGACTTTACTGCGTTTGCATGACTTTACCGACTTTACCGTCTGCACCGTAGCGTTGCACCGACACGCCGCGAAGGTGTTAGCATGTAGCACCAGACTGAACCCCCGTCGCGGCCCCTTGACCCCGGCTGTGATTTCACCTCGTCCCACCAGGTGGTTCTGCGAAGGCCGCGAGCTGCACAACTCCCCCGACGTACAGATCTGGAGGGACGGCGACCTGCACACGCTCGTGATCTCCGAGGCGTTCGAGGACGACACGGGACGCTACACCTGCGTGGCCTCCAACAGCATCGGAGCGGACAACACCTCCGCTGAGGTTTACGTCGAAGGTCAGCCCTCCTCACGGCGTCACCCGTAATCAGGAGATGCGTCGCCCTGCTGTCCCGTTTCAGTTTCCTTTTATTTTGACCCTTCGCAGGAGCCTCGTCGTCGGACTCCGAGGGAGAAGGAGCTGTGTCCAAGTGCGGATCGGGAGCCATGCATCAGTACGTGATAAGACACGTGGTCACCGTTCGCCCGCTGTCCCGAGCGCCGCGTGGGTGGACGAGAGCAGATTGGTTATATTTGCGTCGTGTTTTCATATTTTCCTCTGCCTATTGTCAGGGTTGCTGGGTGGAAGGCAGGACTCAAACGCAGACTTGCGGCAAACAAAAGACTTTAATAGTCACAAGGATCAAAAAACACCGGAACTGGGGGCAAACGCACACAGGCAAGAGACTACGACGATCCAAGACGAAAGACAATGACGCGACAAGTGACACAGGAGACACACTGCTTAAATACACAAGGGAGGTGCAGGTGATTGGACACAGGTGGAAACTATTAGACGAACACAGGGGATGACGAGACAAGGCAGGAAGTGAAGTTACCCGGGGACACGAGTGGCAGAAAACTACAAAATAAGACAGGAAGTGAACCACACCGTGACAGTACCCCCCCCTCAAGGGCCGACTTCCAGGCGGCTCACACTAGAGCAAAACAAGGGGTGGGGGGGAGGGAAACCCGAGACGTTGGTCGGACCACCCGGGAAACTCTGGCGGGCGGCCCGGCGGGCGGCCAGACGAGCGGGGAGCCGGCGGTCCTTTCGCCGGCTCCGGAGCGGTGACCACAGGGCACGGAACGTCTCAGGAATGGCAGGCTCTGAGAAACGGGAAACCTCCGGGGTAGTCGGCGGCGCCGGCTCGGGGACACGGGAAACCTCCTGGGTAGTCGGCGGCGCCGGCTCGGGGACACGGGAAACCTCCTGGGTAGTCGGCGGCGCCGGCTCGGGGACACGGAACACCTCCGCAGTCTGCTCCGGCTCGGGGACACGGAACACCTCCGCAGTCTGCTCCGGCTCGGGGACACGGAACACCTCCGCAGTCTGCTCCGGCTCAGGGGACACGGAACACCTCCGCAGTCTGCTCCGGCTCGGGGACACG